CTTCAGAAGACAGCAACTCACGGATAAGTCGGACGTTTACTCGTTCGGTGTGGTGCTTTTCGAGGTTTTATTGGCGAGGGCGGTGATATGCCCCGGGCTTCCCAGGGATCAAGTCAGTTTGGCCGAATAGGCAATGCAGTGTCATAGAAAAGGGATGATCGAGAACATCGTTGACCCCAAGATTGCAGGGAGTATCAATGAAGAATCATTGAAGAAATTTGCAGAAGCTGCAGAGAAATGCTTGGCTGAATATGGAGTTGACAGGCCGAGCTTGGGGGATGTGTTGTGGAACTTGGAATCTTCATTGCAACTTCAAGAAGCTTCTTCTTCTTCCAAGAATGATGAATCATTAGAAAGGAAACGAGGTATAGATCCCGAGGCCATTGCCAATCTTCTTTCTGGAATTGATGATGATTCTCAGTTGAATTTTCCAAATGTTGTAAATATCCAAGCAAGGTAAATCATGGGGTTTCTTCTTCTTTTTTGGGCGCATTCATTCACCTTTATTGCTTTGCAAAACATTAATACAGCCTTGTTTCATGGCAGTGAAGAACAAAAGAAACACTGTACTGCTTATGTCTCTGTAATTTCATGAAAAATGTTAAATAATTAAGATCGAATTTTCTACTGCCCTACAGAGTTTACGTATATTATTTACAAGTATACTATAAAGAAACTTGGACAAAGTACATAAATGGTCCCTCGATTGTAAAGAGTTACTTTGTTTAGTCATTTAATTATTAAAAGTTACAAAATAATTATCTAACTATAATGTGTTGTATTGTTGAGTTCTTCGACAGTTAAAAGTTATAAAATAATTACTTCACTATTCATATGTTTCAAACTCATCATTTCTGTAAAAAAAAATTGATGATCGTTTGAGCTAGATGTTAACTTACTTAATAAAATATGATAAAATCATATTTTAATAATGTCTACTATCTCTATTCTTACTTTTAAGCACTAACTCGACAGTATAATATTTCAAGCATTAATTTGATGACATAATGTAAATAAAGAGTCGATCTACAAAATATAACTCAAACGATTCTGAGAACAGATTTTATCATATCTCAATCAATATATTAATGTTGAACTCAAGCAATTGTCAATTTTTATTGAAAATGATAAATTTAGAATATATGAATTGTAAATGATCATTTTATAACTTTAATAATCGGAGAACTCAACAAAGCAACACCCTAAATCGAGAGACCATTTTATAATTTTTAATAGTTGAAAGACTTGACAAAATCGCACCCTATAATTGGAGGACTATTTATGTACTTTCCCAAGAAATTTCATGGCATCCGATGCTTGTCGTTTCATTGATGAAGTACCATGGGATTACATTCTTCGTTTGACAATGATTTTGGGAAGTCTCACTTTCTTAATTAAAAAAAAAAAAACTGGAAATGCCTTTGTATCTATTGATTAAATTTGATCTAGGGAAGAACAAACTCCGTTTACATGCAGTACACAGGGCCAGGGGCACTGATTCTATCAAGAGCCAGGGTAACTTCAGGGTTCGTCCCGTATGAAACACGTCCGATAGTTTAATCCAGTTGCTTTCGCCTGATCGATATTCGGCAGTGCATGTTTGTTCTGATACATGGTCCATGCTCTTCTTCAACAAGTATGACTCCTTTCCATGAATACAAACTGATCATCGATGTCATTGAGTATCGTCTTCAGGAGAAGAATCCCTCGATACCTGCTCATAGTCTTCTTCCTCGTCATAATCGGCACAAGGTTCGCTGTTAAGATCAACAGTTACACCATTTGGTTTCCTCACAAACTGTCCCCTCAAGTGCGGCCTCCTTTCGGCTAGCTTTTTTCTATTTATCTATCGAATCTTCTTATCGAAACAGCGCTCTTTCCTTTTCTGCCGGAATTTGATTAGTGCTGCCTCTCTTCTGTCAACCTTACTTGGTTTCACTTCACCGGAAGATGAATTTTCAACAGACGGCCATGAATGACCTGTCAGCATCGGATCATGTTGCACGCACATGTCCGGATAGTACGGAAACAATGCCATACCACCAACATATGAATGGGAATGACAATGTTGCAGGTGCTTATATTGAGATAGCACACCAGAACTAGCAAGGTTTCGGAGTTCGAGGAGGTTGTTCTCAAACAACTGGGCCGATGGCTGCATCATAACTTGATTCATAGCTCCCGACATATAGTACGAAAAAGCACTTTATGTTGGTAAACGAGATACATCATGTCGAGGTTCGTTTCTTGGAGGCACGAGTTCCCGAAGAATCTTGTCTTCCCCATAATTCTTTTGCTGCAAGAACTCTATCGATGCAGGAGTAGAAGACCTTTCTAAGGAAAGTGAATCCAGTACACTACTGCTGCTCGGAAAGTCATCGCCTTGTGAACAGTTTTCCCACGCTTCACCGTTCTCATGTACTTGGGTATCATTAACCACCTGTTGAACAGATTGCGGAAGATCCTCTTCAAGGATCTTAATTCGGGCAGCACTTTCATCATTCGGGGTCGACGCTTGAGTGCTGCTTTTTACTGCAGGTGACTTTACATATGTAAAGAAGGCAGACGACTCACCAATCTTTAGTTCACTCTTCTTTGGACCACATGCAAGTTGACCTGAGTAAAATATCACCGACATTAGGACATCAACTGAATAAGAGAATCAGTGAATCCAAAAGTTGGGAAACCCGGAAAAGAATCACAGCCATGGTTTCCCGGTATTCCAGTGTTATCGCATGATAACTAATGCTTGCATTATAACGAATAATAGATGAAGAAAAGACGGAGACCTAGACATCAAAAAAGTATAAGAACAGTCCTCCTGTTCTCCTACCAGTTATTCCTGGAACACCGGGACGACATTCAGTTGAATCATTCGGAGGAAACTCCACAGTAGCAGCAGCCAACTGAAAGACGAAAAAACATATATTAACAAAACTATAAATTTCACTCTTTACGCCAATGATTTTCCATATATTCGTAAAACCGAGTAAATATGTGAAATTACAAAATGCGTCCACAGCTGCAGATTATCATTCATAGACAACTTGCCTAACATGCCTAAAGTGCATATTCATAATCTATCCTGTACAACTTCACAATGGCCGCGAACAACCTGGATAGTCGGTTCCACAGATAACACATTCCCCTAATTTTAAATGTACACAAATATGTATTTGGTTATCCGAGTTCAATACTCACTTCGTCTTCCAGATGAATTGGAGCTCCCATATCTGGATTGGAGGCCTTCCGGGACTTGTCCGCTGTGTCATCTGAGAACAAAGTAGTACTGTTTGTATTAGCATCGCTAGGGTCTGATGCCACCAGATCAAAGTCATAGTTCAAGATGTTCCTTTCCGCCAGACCAAGCTGTCAGAGAAAGCAACTAGCATAATATCACAGGTAGTTCTCATTAAACATCCATTCATGCAACCATGCATGCATATCAACTCTCAAAAGAATGTCGGTTAATGAGTTTCTCGGTTCTCTCTATCTAATTTTTACCTTAATTATACTTTTACAAGTATAAACTATAATGGAACTGTTTTTACAGTGGGGAGGAAATCAAAGACAGCCAGAGGGGGAAAACCCTACAAAAAGTACAGCTGAAACTAACCGATAAAAGGAAAACTGCTAAAAAAACAAACCTCACCCCGCCTTCTCCACATATGCGTCCACAAGTTCAACAACTCATTGGTTCGTAAAGGCTTGACAAGATAATCAGCAGCACCAAGCCTCAAACACTTAACAACAATAGAAACCTCATCCCGGGCCGACATCACTTATCATAGAAAGGAAAGAAAAACATAATAATCAGACCACAAACACCAAAAAGGAAAATTCGCAATCACAAAAGCCAGACAGCCAAAGAAAAGAAGGTTAAAGGCAAACTCACTAATAACAGGAATCCGACGCAGATCCTTATTCCGCATAATATACTTCAACAAATTCATTCCTTTTGACATTGGGAGGTCAACTTCAGCGAGTAACACAAAATCATGAAGCTGATATCTCTTCTAGAAGTATATGGAAAGTGTCATCAGTCATGAAACTATAGGGTACTCTCTCCTAATTGGAACATATAATGATAGAAGTAATAGAGTTCCTACAAAAAGTAGAAGCAGCCTAAATAAGTGGCACAATAAACATACACTAAAAAGTAATCCAACTCTCAACTCAAAAGGCTAACCATCACTATGTTGTTATACGTGTTGAAACACACATTAGCACAGATGGTGGAGGGGAAAGTCTAAATAGCAAAGAAAATTTAAAGAAGACGATAACTAATTAAATTAGGGATAAAGACAAAGGGTTCTGGGATTTTCCAGCAATCAATTCTATAGAACTCTAATCATAGTACTAAATTGCGGTTACAGTATCGGATGTAACCTTGAAAAAGGTTTCGGTACGGCCGTTACACTAAGTTGCGACGACAATTTAATACCATGCTCTTAATGATAATAATGATCTCCTTCGGTCCATTATTGGAATAGCGAATGTTATATAGCGGGCAGCATACCATTCAAAACCGTTATTGCATGACCGTAATTGCCGTGGTAACTTTAATAGAAGCCATTATATCCGCAATCGCGATAAACACATTGCAACTAGACAGTATTAATTATACAACTCTCAGTAATAGCAAAATGAAAAAGAAAATTCACAGAATGAGAAGCATACCCTGGTAAGAACATGTCAAAAGAAGAGAACATTTCTTGACAACTCTTTGTATCATTATCACACAGAAAAATCCTCACTTTGCTCCTATCTTTCATCCCCCACACTCCAAAAAAGCAAAGACAAAACCTTTCTTCTTCAAACTATCTCACCAAAAAAACAGGGCTTTCTCTTTTTTTTAATATATATATAAAAATCAAAAGGAGGATACTAAAGTAAGCCCATAAAAGTCGTCCTTTTTCCCAACAATCTGAACAAGATACAAAATTGGGATCAGGGTTTCTAATTATCCTGAACCTATATGGTCCACCGTCCTCCTAATAAAGGACTAAGCTTGATTGTTCGTCGAAGTTTCCATATCTTTTTCCACTTGGTTATAAAAAATGAACCAGACTTTCCATGAAAGGCAATGAAATGTACAAGTGGACCCAATCGGACTGCAAGGATGGATGGTGGGAGGAACCATGAAACCACAAGGAACCCGTAAACAAAACGACCAAAGTGGAGATTACCTCATCCTGAATCCTAAATTCAGAGTTAGGGTTGTAAATGAGACGAGACAGATAGCGAGCTATTCGAGATCGACTCGATCAAGGCTCGATAAATACTTGAATCGAATGGACTCGACTCGAGCTTGAGCTCGACTCGAGTTCTTAACGAGCCTAAACGAGCTACTTGATATTCGACTCGAAAAGCTCGTGAGCAGCTCGAAAAAATATTATATTATAATTTTAAATTTTTTAAAATTACATTATTAAAAATATATTAAAAATACACTATTGATAATTATAAAAATTTAAAAATATATTAAAAATTCTATAATACAACTACCCTCAAATTTAATTAATGTCCTTGCAATGAACCTTAAACCCTAAACCTTAAACAATAATTCTAAATCATAAACCCTAAACTCTAAACTCTAAATTATACTTACCTCGTAAATCGATATCAAGTTGATTAATTAATATCTTTGTAATAAATCTTAAACCACAAACCACAAACTATAAACCCTAAACCCTAAAACCTAAACCCTAAAACCTAAATCCAATTATATGATAGAAGTTAAGTTATGCACATGAATGTAACAAATTATGCAAAATGATGTTGTGTGATTCCTAAATGAATCAATCACATACTCATACATAAACATATCAACATGCAAAATAAATATGCACAATTAATTAAAGAAAACAATCCTGACTAAATTAAAAAAAAATCTAAATGTGAGGACTAATTTAAATTAAATATACTAACTTTAGAATAATGATTAAATTCAGATAACTTACTTTCCCAACCATCAGATAACTGAAATTCAAATCAAATTAAGGCAGCAAACAGAGTGAGTATTGAAAATAAAATCAACTCTGAAACAGTATGTTAGACATCAATGCTTGGTAAGCTCCTCACCTCAAACGATGAGCAGGAGCTGTTAACGTGCTTATCTGCAAATGTCCATTGATGCTTTCCAGAAACTGCCACTTGTCCAACAATCCTGCATAACAAGGAATAAGGACTAACTGGACTTTTGCATAAGCTAGAGATACATAAATTTGGTACTTATCATAATCACAATAAAATTTAACAGAGGATTGGGTTGGGGGGGTAACAAGACCCTATGTTCAACTGATTGCATCCTTACATATTATTTCTTTAACTACTTTAACTACAGAGACTTCTCAGTATCTGGTGTAATCCACTGCTAATTGTACTGCTGCCCATCCCTATCTCTCCCCAAAAACAGAAACCATCTCTTTGATTTACTTCAAAAGGCCCCCCACATCAACTAAAAGCAGCGAAATTTTCAATAAAAAACGCTCCCCCAACCTATTTTTTGTTTGCAAAAAAGCCCTAAGCTTCCTCTGTAAGAGCCTCTTCTAGCCTGTTTTCTCCATAACCCTGCTCGCGGTTTAATTGGCGGTCCAACTGTTGGTAGTAGCAAACTATCTCTTCCCATTCCAAGACGCCCAATGATAGAAAAAGGAGGAAAAAAAAAGAAATGACTTTTAAGAAGTTTTCGTCGCAGATGTCAATTACAATATCAAACTCGTGAGATCAAATATGAAGTTCTCGTCCCAATTAACTCCGTTGAAGTCGTTGCCGCATCCGTCCATCTTTAGAACGAAAATATTTCTGATTCGTTGAAGAGAAAGTGAGAAAACTACAGATAGCAGAGAAACATGTCTAGCTTATATCCGACGACATGCATAATTAAACTAGCTGAAGATCGAACTTTTCCAGAGGAAAATTACTTTTTTCGGTTGAAAAGGAGATTAAACAAAGAATTAAACTACTAGATGAAATAAATGAATGATGGTTATTGGGAACAAGGGGGTAAGGAGAGTGTATAAAATGGATGAGTTTGAATTGAGTTTGAATTGAACTCAAAATCGAGCTTTTTTTTTAGTTCGAGTCGAATTTTAATGTTATTTTTTAAGTTCGAGTCGAGTTTGAAATTTTAAGTTCGTGGATTTTCGAGTCGAGTCGAATTTATATTTAAAGTCTTCGAGTTTAAATCGAGTTCGACAATACTTGAACTCGATTCGACACGTTTACACCCGAGTAAATGAGGAGAGTGGCTGTGACTAATGAGCGCATTATTAGGCAGAGCGTTGGATGGAAGGAGGAAAATGGGGTGCGTAATGCGCTCGTTGGAGTAGGCTAGAGAGATGGATGAGGTGGCAAAAAGGAGGGGACAGGTGGAGGAGAAAATAAAAAAGCGAAGGACTTTGCATAGTTTGGTAGATATAGAGAGAAGACCACGTCTCCCTTTCAGATCTTTATCATTTAATAGTAATAATTGTCACACTACCCCCATCCCTTTTCAATAAATGAATAAATCAGAAGTATTTTGAAAATAAAAAATTATAAAATAATCACTTATATTTTTAATTTATTTAATTTGATCACCAATTACTATTTAATTAATGAAAATAACACAATTTTAATTATAAATCACCTGTTTAGCCACTTCAATAATCAAAGAAAAAATGATAAAAATGAGTGTTATTTTTTTAGAGGTTCGAGTTCAAAAAATTATGTATTCAAAGTGTGCAAGTGTTTATTGTCAATTGGTTAAGAAAATGTTTAAAGTGAAAATAGGCACTCAAACTATGTATTCCTTTTATTTTAAGTACATAAATTATTTTTTATCAAATTAAGTACTTAAACTATATTATATTTAAGGGTAAATTATATCGTTGATCATATAACTATTTAACCTTTTATTATTTGTATAATTTATCAATTCATCCTAATTTAAATTTAATTGAAAGAATTAATTTTCCATTCAATATTAGACATATGTCACAAGCTGATTAGAGAACTTTTTTTAATTAATTTTAATATTTAAATTAAATAAATTCCCTCACCAATCAAATGGTGACATGTCACCATCTATTTAAAGGTAAAACAAATAACAAATCATTTTGCAGCTGAGGAGATCGAACCCGGGAACAAAAAAGAAATTTAGAGCGCCTAAACCACTGGTGCAACCCAAACAATTATTGTGAAATTACATGTTTCCCTACATATTTGTTATCATTATAAATTTTATCGTTTTATTATAAATCAGTCACTTAATCATTCGTTATTCAATTATGAAAGTATGATGTGGCACGTTTGGGCGGCTGAGTTGGCAAAGTCCGACCTAGTTGGCATCCTTTGACCGATCACTTTGACACCCATTTAAGAAAAACATAAATTTCTTAACAAAGAAAAGGACGAAAAGATTTGATAGGAGGAGACGTTTGAGAAAATATGCTCCAAAAATGTCATTAGAGACATCACTTCTCAAATTAAGGATGGTCTTATATATTCAAGCTGGCCGAACAAATAACCTCAAATGTTCCATGACAGTTTGAAAATCCAGTTGAATCATTCTACTTAATAATGAGATTGCTCATCGAAGTTTAGTCGAGTGGTCAGGGGCGGATGCACTAAGCTCTTAGGGAATCAAGTGCATCCCCATTATTTAGAGGAAAAAAAAAAATTAGTATAATTTGTTAAAGAAAAATGAAGTTGCCTATCCAGCTCGGTTGGTAGAGCACAAGGTTCTTAATCTTGAGGTCGTGGGATCGAGTCGTACGGTGGGTAATTCATAATTTGGAGGTCTCACAGAAGCTGCTCTCAACCTGACGTTAGGGGCAGCCTATTATCCTACCTCCCCTTACCCCATTACATATGAGAATAAGGGTCAACTAATTTTTTTTTAAAGAAAAATGAATTTTTTTGTACCCCTATTATTTTTTAGAAAATAAAATTAAAATTTTGAATCTTATTCTTAAATTCCTGGATTCGTCATTTCGAGTGTTCTTTGTCGTTCTTGATATTTGTTATTCTAGAACATTATGAATTTCTACCTAAAAATCAGTAATATGTTTAAGCAAAATGGTTAAAATTGAAATCAAGCAACACTTTAATTTCACATATGAATAGACAACATGAAACTTGTTCAACAGAATTTCAATAATTTCAGTTTGCCGATCACAATTATTGCTATCCATGGAAGTACATTAGTCCCAACCAATCAAAATCATGGCCTGCATGCCTGCCTCTTACAACAAAAACTGCCTTTCCCTTTGCCTAGGATTAATAGATTAATTAATTAATCTATATATATAGTTAAGATTCACTTTGACCCAATATAAAATTAAGAGTTTTACATCTTTTTGTGACCATTAGATGATGAGAAATCAAATTCTGAGATTAATTCATTATTTTTATTTAGTGAATATCGTCTCATTTTTTATTGTTAATCTCAGCCTTTGTTTTCTCTCATCTAACAGTCCTAAAAAGATATAAAGTTCTTAATTTTACACAGAATATAACATGATCCTCCATATATATATATATGTTGAACTAATAAATTTTATATCAATTTGTACTCATTATATTTAAATAAATAAATAGTTTAGATTTAATTAAAATTTATAACCCATAAATAAATATTTCTTTAATTCACAATAAAATAATATTTTTTAAGGTTAGTGGTTAATGCTTGGGGTTTAAGATTTAAGTTTTAGGGTTTATGGTTTAAGGTTTAAAATTAAGTTTTATGGTTTAAGGTAAATATTTTAGAATTTGGGATTTTAGGGTTTATGATTTAAGATATAAGATTGAGATAAAAAGGATATTGTTTTACGGTGAGTTAAAATATATTTATTTATGAGTTATAAATTTTAATTAAACATTAGTAATTTATTTATTTAAATATAATGACTGTAAATTAGTGTAAGTGGATCCTGCCCATATATATGTATATGGGCTAGGATCGAATTAAATAATGTAAAATGAAAAAGTTGTATACCTTTAGGATCATTTTATGTTGGAAATCAAAGGCTGATATTAATAGTAGAAAATGAGAAAATATTTAGTGGAAAAAAACAAGGAGTTAATCTTAGCCTTTGATTTTCCCTCATCCAATCACTATAGTAAAACAAGTTTTTAGCGGAGTTTATTTGGTTATATAGTGGCGTTTTTAAGCGTCGCTAAAAACCTTTGTAGCACAAAAACAAACGTCGACAAAAAGCGCCGCTAAAACAAGCCTCACAAAAGGTAGCGGCATTTGTCGTTCACAAACTGGTGTTTGAAAAATTCAATTTCAAGAATGAAATAGAGGGCTTACTTTTTTTCTCAAATTATTTCTCCTATTCAACTGGTGTTTCAATAAGAGAGAGCTTTTGTCAAAAAACTATTTTTTCAAAGGTTTTGTTATATCAAAAAATGTGAGAATGTTGAATCTATATTTTGATATAACAAATAAGGGTAAAATGTTTGTTAGAACTAAATTGAATTTATTCAAAGTTTTCAAAAATAATTTAAGGTCCAAATAAATTTGAAAATTATGTTTTAAATGTTTTCTAACTTTGTCAAACTTTTAAATATTGTTTTAAAACTCAAAACTCTTGAAATTAGCCAAAACCCTTAAAATTAGCCAAAAACCCTATCAGTCTTGAGACTAATACCAGCCAGTCTAGAGACCAACATGGTAGTCTGGAGACTGATATTCTAGTAGGAAAATTTGGTATTGATACCATGGTGTTGGTATTGACACTAAGGGTTCAACGGTTATATTTTCGACCGTTGGAAGGCTTGGTCTCGAGACCAACTTTCCGGTCTCAATACCAAAGTTGCAGGTGAGCATTCAATGCTCAAAATTAAGGTTTCCAACAGCTCCAAAATATTCCCAATGGCTAGAAACGTCCAGAAACTCATTCCATCATATAAAAACAAGTTCAAGACACCTAAAGAAGGTTACATAACTCCTATTCAAGAATTGATCTTCAAGAGAAAAACTTTTTCACTATTTATCTTTATTTTCTCTTGTATATAGTGTTTTAGTGAACTAAATTGTGTAAACACCTACCTTGTGATGTTTTCTTGTTTACAATCTTTATATCTTTTTGTAAAAAGGGTTTGGTTCTAGTTTAGCCATTGAAAACTAGGGAGTTGTAAAAGGTCACTCTTGAACCTAGAAAAAGAAAGAACAAATTAGTAAATTTGTTTGAAAATCTTTAGTGTGGAGCTAAGGTAGTGGATATAGACTTGGTTGAAAAATCCAACCAATCTAAATCATTGTGTAAATTATCTATCCTTTCTCTCCATACTCCTACCATTTTTATTTGGCCAATTAACCCCCTTTTGGCATATTTCAATTGATCGAATCAAGTTTCCAAATTTCCAACATTTGGTCTTAGAGCAGGTCACAAATCAACGGTCTAACAACCTTGTGAAGATCATTGAAGCTTGATCGCTTGTAAATGTATATGCTAAGGCAAGCAATTATGTGCAAGTATACATAATCGAATCAAGTAATATAGGGTAAGTGAGTTACCGTCTCCTCAAAGATTGGTCGAAGTTTTTAAGTTTCACCATAACCAGAACTAGTTGTCACAAGCTAATTCCTATTATCTTGTCAAACTAGAAAACTATTAGTAATAAATCAAGAAAATATTATAAGTATGATTGCAGAAAAGTTTGGTCGAGACAAAATAAATATGCAAAACTATCGAAGTAAAATAAATAAAGCAAGGATAAACGTTGATTTAAATATTTCCAAAATAACCTCAGATATTCAGACTTATCACAGAGCACTCATGCTAATCTTTTGTATTGCCAATCAATTATTCTAAGTCCATAATGAATTGTTATAGCATGCTTAAGCTGCCCGATAGGATTACTAAGTATTCTTAGACGGTTGCTATGGCAATACTACTTAGCATTAACTACAACCCTTGGTTTGTCAGACTGTTGTTGTAGTAATACCTCTTAGCGTAAACTATAGTCGTTGTCTATCCTACTTTAGCGTCTATCCCTTTTAGTCTTTTGAAATCCGTTTCTTATCTCTAAGGTATACAAGTTAGAACATCACCATCTCGAATCCATTCCATTGTTCACGTAGATCTATCTTAATTCTCTCGAATCTAAGAATCAATATCTAGACAAAGGGCAATCTCTCGACGCTCTTACATTGCCAAGACATGTTTCAGCAAGACCCCAGGCAATCTCTCAAAGCTCTTACGGTGTCAAGACAAAATATTCAAACAATGAACAAAACAGTTATGAGCAGAATCATAATTGATCATTCATAAAGTAGAAAATAATTGTTTAGGCAAAACAAAGATTAACACCAAGTAAGACAGTTCATGGTGTTATCGAAAAGTCAATCAAGTATCATCGTTTTAATACAATCCCAAATACGTAAAGAAATT